CGGCCTGCTCGCCCTCATTCCCTCCCCCACCGCCGGCCTGATCACCCCCAACTGCCCTCCCCTCCTAACCTGATTGCTCCTAACCGTCTCTGCCTCGGCCCCGCCACCATGGCTTTGTCCTGAAGGTCTCCCGGTCTAATTGGCATATTACCCTTTTATTAGTATAGATTTTTTTTTTTTTTAAGTTAAGTTTTCTCCTGATGTTAGGCAACTCCTGGGTTCCTCCATCTTTTGGTCATTGGGAGTGTGGCAGGTAGACGGCTTCTGGGGAGGGAACTTCTCCCTGCATAGGGGACACTCTGAATTGGCGTCATACCACTAGGTTCTTTTCACTTTTTTGATAGTATCATTGAGGCAGCACAGAAGTTTTAAATTTTGTGTAGTCTAATTTATCTTTTTTTTTAAAGTATATTTTTATTTATTTTTGAGAGGAAGGGAGAGATAGAAACATGTGCCCTGACTGAGAATCGAACCGTGACTTCCTGGTTCATAGGTTGATGTTCAACCACTGAGCCACACCACCAGGCTAATTTATCTATTTTTTGTTTTTTTGTTGTTTTTTAAAAATATATATTTTATTGATTTTTTTACAGAGAGGAAGGGAGAGGGATAGAGTTAGAAACATCGATGAGAGAGAAACATCGATCAGCTGCCTCCTACACCCCCCCTACTGGGGATGTGCCCCAACCAAGGTACATGCCCTTGACCGGAATCGAACCTGGGACCCTTGAGTCCGCAGGCTGACGCTCTATCCAGTGAGCCAAACCGGTTAGGGCTATTTTTTGTTTTGTTGCTTGTTCTTTTAGTGTTATATTACTACTCTTTAAGGGTGTGTTGATTATGCCTTGGGTTTAAGATTTAGTAGCAGAAATAGTGGTGATGCAGTTAGCAGGGCTATAGAATGCAGAAGGGGAAGGGTGTGTGTTTTAGGGTTGGGAAGTACTTGGGCAACAGAAGGCAGTAAATCCCATTTTTTATATACTGTACTGAGTTTAAGGTACAGAGAAGACAAAGAAAAAAAGAAATATTAAATGGCCAGCTTGAAATATATGTCTGGAGGAAAGGAAGGAAATCTGGACTAGAAAAAGAAGGCAATTGTGAGGCATCCTCCTAGAATGATAAGTGAAGCTACAGAAATAGATGAGATCTACCCCGAAAGGGGCAGCATCTAAGAGAACGGGGGCATAAACAAACAGCCTCATGAAGATTATTTACCTGTTTTGGGGGAGTGTGTGGAGGAATATTTGGAGGAAAAAACAGTATCACTGTCATAGGGACAAGGGAACATATAGCAAGGAGAAGGATGTGACTGGCATTATCACACAGGAAGTGGAAGCAGGAGCATAAGGAGGATAGGGAAGAGACGCTTGGTAGCAAAGAAGTCACTGATGGTCTTTAGCAGGGCTGAGGGGTAGCAAATTTGGACTGAGGGTGTCAGTAGCTGGGAAGACAGCAACGATGTGCACTAATTTGAAAAAAAGGAGAAAGATAGCTTAACAGAAACGCAGAGTGATATAAGGTTTTCATTTTGCTTTTGAAGATTAGGGGTTAAGTATTTTGTGGGCTAAGGGGAAGGAGAGAGAAAAGATTCAATGGGAGGGATTAATTGATAGGCCTAAGTTTTATAGATGGGATGGACTGTGAGTGATGAGTTGAAGAATTAACCTTTTCAACTTAATTTCACCAACAGCCTCCCCCATTTCTTTTTCTTTTTTTTTTTTTTACTTCCAAATCCTCCCCCCCCTAAGTTTGAACACCTTTTTTACCTCCCCCATTTCTTAAGGCAAATTTCCTACTATCCTTTTTAAAAATTTATTTTTCTTTTCTTTTTTTTCTTTTTTAAGTGTATATATATATATTTTTTCAAAATAGATCTTTATTGATTTTTTACAGAGAGGAAGGGAGTGGAATAGAGAGTTAGAAACATTGATGAGAGAGAAACATCGATCAGCTGCCTCCTGCACACCCCCCACCGGGGATGTGCCCGCAACCA